ATGGGGAGAGGGAAACACGATAAGGGCGGGACGTGCAGACACACGAGGAAAAAGGGGCAAGAGAGAGAAACCTCGTGGAGCGCTCGCTTTTAACTGCGGGCGCAAGGTTATCTGGGAGTGATGGTCTTCACCTGGGCGCGCCAGCGCGCCCAGGTGAAGGGAAGTCTGGGAGCTGTAGTTTCCAAGGAATAACACAAATACATATTCAAAAATGTGCTTGGCTCCTCCTTATAACATAAAGCTTCCCAAATTCCTCCTGATTCATTTGCCCTGATTTTAAAAAGAGGAATGCTGTGCTTGAAATAAAAATGTAAGCATTTCGTGTTAAAAAAAACATAATAATTCTACATAATTTCAAATTTCAGGCACACAGCAAACATAAACAAGTGTTCTAAGCTGGGGATGGTAAAAGACCCATTGCATGCTCTGACATGCTGGGAAATATGTCCTTATGCTAATTGGTGGTTCTTGGCGTCCTCTGCAGAGGCCAGCTTTGTGAATTCTCGGGCAAGTTCTGGATGGCAGCCGTTGGGCAGGCCTAGGGTTGAACCTGCAACTCTGTCCTTCCTTGTAACTTCCTGGTCCGTAGGTGCCCACATTCTTTCCCCCACAGTGTGTTTTGTGCTTCAGCTCCTCTATTCCCTGGCTGAACTAAGATGCAGAGAGAGCTTGGGCAGAAAGAGCAGGTGCCATCACAACACTGCTCTCAGTAAGTATGTTTCTTTAGACAAGGTCTGACTGTGTCTGTTCCTGGCCGGTGGCAGAGCAGGAGCAGCTGCAGCTTTGTGACTTCAAGATATCTATGCTTTGGTGAAGTCAGAAAGGCATCACACTACTTCCTGGATACCACAGACATCACAAGAAGGATGGGAGAGCGGGAGGGAGGGAGGGAGGGAGGGAGGGAGGGAGGGAGGGAGGGAGAACGGGAGGGAGGAAAGCAAAAAAAAATCAGTTCATCCAGTTTGCCACGATTTGAGTAATTCAGAAAAGGAGCATTTCCTTTCTCTCTTCCTCTCACTTCCTGTGGATGAAAGTCCCCAGAAAATTTCCTCAAAGTCTGGGGACATTTCCTACGATGTCCTGGCTCTCTGAAGGACATTGTCACTTCTGCCATGAGGCTGTTTTCCCACCATGCATTCGCTTGCTCACTTCGGTTGCTGAACCTACCTACTCTCTTGGACCCCAACTAAAGGCGCAGCCACATCTCCTCTCCCTCTCCCATCCTGGCAGCTGCCACTTATCGTTTGCCTGCCCTCGTGACTTTCCTTCAAATTCAAATAAAATAGAGCTTCCTTCTAGATCATTTTTAAAATTCTTTTATTAACGAGACAATGAAGCCAAACAAGGGAAAGCAAGAAGCCAACCAGGAGCTTTCTTGACCCTCCTCAGCCTTAGAAGGAGCTTGAAGGAACGTTCTGTGCTGGCCAGTGACCCTGGATTCCGAAAGGCAGTTGTCCTAGATGACTCTCCATTTGCCCCTTAATTGTCCATCATTGAGCAACACGGGGGTCTAGAAAGATGACTAAATGGTTAAGAGCATTTATCTGTGCTCCCAGAGGACACTGGTTCAATTCCCAGAACCCAGAGGGCAGCTCAAGATCATCTATAAGTAACATTTTGGGACATTCTATATCTTCCTCTGGCTTCCCTGAGGAAGCATCAGGCATGCATGTGATACACAGACATACATGTAGAAAAACACCCTACACATAACATTTTTAAAAAGAAAAATATAAAAATAAAGCAATTCCATACCACCTGCCACTAACTGAATGACTCTAAAAACAGCAGCACAGAAGCAGGGCATGCAGCCTTGGCGGGTGCCACCTGCCAGTTCTTACACTGGAACCCCTCCCTTAGCTTGACCTGACTGCAAAGGCCAGCAACAGATATCCTGACCTTTGGGAAGGTGAACCTGCACTCTGCTCAGGAGGTATTTCAAGTCGATGGAGTTGACAAAATGGACCCAAGGGAACTGTGAATGCTGCTTTCAGGCTTCGTTCTTACAAATTTGAAAGGTGCCCTGACTATGTGGAGATATTATGTTAAAGTCTAGACCCTGTGTGCTCTTAACATGTTTTGTATAATATAAATCTGAAATAAATACATCAGTGTAATTAAGTCGAATGCTCCCTGGGAGGCTTCCAAGATGGTTTTGTCCCCTTCTGGGAATCTAGTTTAGAAACACAGAAATAATCTTCAGTAACCAGAACTTCTCTGCTGCTGATCACGGGCTCGGATGAGGGAGACTGGAGGGGAGACAAGAGGCATCATGGCCTTTGGACGATGTAGTAGCTCTTCAGGACCTGCCATGCCTTTGCTTTGACTCTTGCTCTCTGGGCAGGAGCACCAGTCTCAGCAGATGGGTGGTCTGATGGGCCCTGGTAATATGTAAGGCAGCTTGATAGCTGGGCTCGTAAAGGCAACCCGTATAAAGTGATTGGGTGGGCAGGAGGAGGGCAAAAAAGAGGAGAAGAGGGAGGGGGAAGGGTAATAGGGGAAGGGAGAGGGGAGAGCTAGGAGGGGGGAAAGGGAGAAGGGAGTGGGGAGGGGGAGGGAGAGGAGACTTTGGTCTTTCAGCTCACACCACTGCCAATGTTTGACTTACAAGCAAGCTTGGTTATCAAGTCTCTGGAACATTCTGGCTAGGTCATTTTGCGTAGTGGCTGCCTGTGCTGCATTGTAAATGACTCCATTCTAAAAGGAAAACACTCTCAGGAGGTTTGATGGAGGAAGAACTCTCTCAACTAGCCTGTCCTCCTTCCAGAGTGTTGAGGGAGAGGTGGGGAAAGGATTCAGAGGGCCTCAAGTACAATACATCGTCTGGAGGGCCAACATTGGGTTCCTCGTCCTGGGCACGCCTCTCTCCTCCTCCATTCCCCTCCTTTATTGCACAAGGCCAATCTGCAGCCCTTGGCCCTATGTGCCAGTTTGTTGAGAGTAGCTGGGAAAGACAAGGGTGACCATCATCACAGAGAACAGTGGGAGGCGGCACCATCATGGCCACACTCCTGTAGCAAATAAGAAAGCATTCCCTGGGCATTGTGCCCTCAGCCCTAGGACAGATGTCTGGTCATCGGAGGGATGCAAAGAGCTGATCCCCTCAGTGATGGCCTGTTTTGAATGGCATTTTGAATCTTTGTGTCTCATGCACTTCATTCTCCATGTTATTTTCCTATAGTTGCTTTGAAAAAATCTGTCAAGTTCAGCACCCTAAAGTAACATGCATCTATTGTCTTGTGGAGATAATTTTCTCATACACACATAGATTACAGCTACAGTCACAAGTGTCCTTGTGTGATGGAGGAGAGAGAAATGTGACCACAGACTCAGGTGGAGTGGCGTAGTCACAAACGAAAGACTGCCAGGGGGGTACCACAGTTTAAAAAGAGAACTAATTCTATCTGTGGAATTCTGGAAGAGGCTTAGCTGTGTTAAGCACAGAAAATTAGCTCTACAAGACAAGTTAGCGTGTCCATTTCCTCAGCATCAAAACCTTTGGAGGAAGAATAAAGAGGGCACCATGAGGAAAATGCTGTGTGTCCGTGTACAATATTCTGAAATAAAGTATATCCGAGCCTTCTAAAAACTCACAAACTAGGCTGTCAGTCACCCCCAAGACATTTGCAAACCCTCCAGTTCTTCCCAGCTAGACCTAAAATCTATTAAACACTTTGCCTAATGGTGTGGGTGGAAATAGGAAGGCTGTTTTCAATAAAGCCGTATCCCTCCACACAGTATCCCTTGGACCTCCTTTTCTGCCTTGAAAGAGCACCATAATGCCATCTGAAACCTCTCCTTGATGAGCAGATATGTCCTTGCCACCCAATCACTCACTTCATTGTGCAGTGTGCTGTAGTGGAGAAAGCTCCTCATTTATATGGAGTCACCTGCCACCCAACACAACATGTCAACAGCAGAAAGTCCTCACTTAGTCAAGACAGGAGTGTGAGGGTCAAGTCTGCCCTGCGAGCTTAGCAAATGGCAACACCTGGCATTTCAGACAAAGTCCTCATGGTGCAAGGTTGGTGGGAGACAGGTGCGTTCTCCTTCATGCCTGCGATGCATGTGTGCACGCACACGTGTGTGTGCATGTGTGTACGTGTGTGTGTGTGTGAAAGAGAAATAATGTTAATGGGCGTTCTGACAAAGTAGTAAGCCTCCTGCTGAGAAACAGTCCTGCCAGTTTTCTTTATTTCACTCTTACTTCTTAAGGGCTTTGTCTCTGATTCCTCTCCCTCCTCGTGACTATTCCGTGTGCAATGTCTGACCTTGAGCACACCGGGGGAGGCAGCAGCCCTGTTCAATTTGCTGCACATCAGTTAGATGTAAAGTCTAGATGAGACCATTTGTTGGCTTCTTGAGATCGTCCCAACAGTTAATGATCCGGAGCCATTCACTGACAGGTTTAATCAGGTAAACATCTACATACGTACTTTAAGATGAGAGCTGAACTCTGCAACCTTGGGCAAGGTGCTAGTTATCTGGGCGCTCACTTTTTCATTCGTGGGAGGAAGGAACAAAGTCGGTCAAGTGACCTCCATGGTTTTCTCATGCATTCCCTGCTTTAAGGCATAACATTATTTAACAACAAGGAACACTGGGTTTGGAAACATGAACACAAATAATTGCTAGAAATTGCTACCTCGAGTAGATTTTTGTTATTAATGTTTCCAGGAAAGCCTCATAGATACATTTTTTAATACACAGTAACTTAGTAACTACACTAAATTTCATTGTGTATGCCCAAGGACAGGTGGTCTACATACATCAAGACATTCATTCCCAGAATTCAGTACATTGCCAGTAAACATCATTCTTTGAGAATTATGATAAAAAAATGATTATAAAACAGTTGCTTAATTACTTGTGAAATTAGTCCTAGATATGAAGCATTTGCAAATACCTTTCTTTTCAATTTTGAAAGAGTCTTGAGGAATATCTGAAAGGGCATACAGTCACTTGAGAGCAGCTTTGATTCTCACACTGGGGACTCTCTTGTCTGAAGTTTCAGTGTTACTTTGTACCAACTCGTTACGATTTGTGTGGATGTCGGACACAAGATAGTGGTGAACCAGGAACTGCGCCAGCATCTGCCCCTTGGAAAAGCCCAGCAGCTGGAGGACCTTCCTGCATGAGCCCAGGCAAGGGGTAATTTCAGACTATCGGTTCCTTCTTCAATTC